ATATGTATTTGCCAAATAAAGTTTGAGCGGCCGACCTTGTTTAGGAGGCATCAAGACTGGAGGGTGAACCAATGCCTGCTTGATAGCATCTAAAGCCGTCTGTTGATCGGGACCCCATTCAAAAGCATTTTTTCCAGCTTTCAACAATTTAGTAATGGGTCTGACCTTGCCAGCAGCATTAGAAATGAAACGCCTCAAATAGTTCACCTTACCCAAAAGACTTTGGATTTCTTTAACCGTCTTGGGTGGCCGACTGTCAAGAATGGCTTTAGCCTTATTGGCATCAATTTCAATTCCTCTCTCATGAACTAAAAATCCTAAAAAGCTCCCGGCTGATATTCCAAAAGCACACTTGGTTGGATTCATCTTCAACTTGTACTTCTTCATTCTTTCGAATGCCTCTTCAAGATTTCTCAAATGTTCGTCAAAACTGGAAGATTTAACAATAACATCATCAATATAAACTTCCATAGATTTGCCAATTAAATCATGAAAGATTGAATTCATGGCTCTTTGGTAAGTTGCCCCTGCATTCTTTAACCCGAATGGCATGACTGTCCATTCATAAATACCTAAAGCCCCTGGGCACCTGAATGCTGTCTTAGGAATGTCTTCTTCTGCCAGAAATATTTGGTTATAACCTGCATAACCATCCATCAGACTAAGGACTTTATGCCCTGCTGCTGCATCTATCAACATGTCGGCCATAGGCATCACATATTCGTCCTTAGGGGTAGCTAGATTCAAATCCCTGAAATCAATGCATATCCTTATCTTACCATTTTTCTTGACCACTGGCACAATGTTAGCCAGCCACTCCGCATAACGGCAAGGCTGAATGAAACCCACTTTGAGAAGTTTTTGGATTTCTTCCTTGATTTGAGGCATCAGATCCGGGCTCATTCGCCTTGGAGGTTGTTTGTAAGGTTTACAACCTTCCTTGATAGGCAATCGATGCTCTATTAGACTTCTTGTCAAACCAGGCATCTCTGAATAATCCCATGCTAAACAATCAATGTTGTTTCTAATAACTTCGAGCATCATTGTTTGTTGCTCTTTAGACAAATAACCACTTAACCTGATCACTTTTGGAACCAATTCGGTTCCTAAATTAAACTCCAATAATGGGTCTTGTGATGAAGCTGTTGGTTCTGTTTTTTCTAATAAATCGGGCCAACGAAATTGTTCATCTTCTTGGAGGTGAACATCAAGAATCTCTTTACTATTTTCTGCTTTATGTAATAACTGCTTTAAATAGAACTTATTAATAAGAGAACTACATACTTCTAAACTTGTATCATCCATAACAAACAAATTATATGGGAATGGGTGTGGCTTTATCATGAGCCATACAATAAAGGTGTTCTTTTAATAGAACATCGAGTTCTGGCCAGTGACTTTATAACCCTTGTTTGGGTATTCCCTGGCCATATACAATTGAGACATCGGAGCCAAATGACTGGAATAAAACACTGACTCTTCAACTTGTTCTGATACATCGAATGGGTTGTCATTTGCTTCCATTTTGAAGACCTGATTTCCTTCCCAGAACATTAACTGCTGGTGCAGTGTTGATGGTACACATTGAGAAGCATGAATCCAGTCTCTTCCCAGTAAGAGAGAATATGTAGTATCTGCGTCCACAATAAAGAAAACAGTGGAGATCTTTTTTGGTCCGACTTCAATTGTGGCAACCATCATACCTTCAGGCTTGGTCGGCTGCCCCGTAAAGCTTGTCATTTCGAATTCCACAGGAGACAGATCATGAATTCCTTTCCCTAGCTTCTTGAGAGTCTTCAATGGCATAACATTAAAGACTGCCCCATTATCCACAAAAACCTTTGTGATTGGTTTCCCGCAAATGTGAGCATTAACATACAGAGGTTTCAAATGGGAGATCGCACCCTCTGGAATAGGAGGAAACACTATCGAAGGTGTTTCCGACTGAGGCTCGGAATCTGAGTCTTTGCCCACTCTGTTTCCTCTAATTCATCATCTGCCAAGAATGCCCATAAAGGTTCGTCCATAGTATCATCTACCAGACTCGCCCACATCGGTTCATCTCTCATCTGATTAATCTCTGTCATTCGACAAGGGATTCGTGGTCCCAGACGAGATTTAACAGATCTTGAACTTTCCTCTGTAGTTACAACTTCTTCCTTTGTCTTATCCCGAGATTGAACCGTCAAAGATTCTATACGGAATTCTTCAGGAGATGGATTGATGTTAATCCGTTCACAATGTTGGCATCTAAAACCTCTAATTATTTCATCTGCCATTCCTTTACCTTTCCCCTGTCCCGACGAACTTCCTTTGGTATAGTCGGAAGCGCCTAATCCGTCGTTCGGTTGCTTTCCTGAACAGACCCGACTGGACCGACTTTTTGGAGATTGCATGGCTGCTCTCTGCTCGTTGGTCGTTTGTTCTGTAAAGACTCTAATGGACTGATCTCCTGCCAAGTGGTCGGCTGCTTTTTGTTCGTCGGTTCGTTGTTTTGCTGAAGGAACTCGTTTCCCATACTTTGCAGCATACCTGCGTTTGGCATTGCGAATCTGTGTACGATTCATACCTGGGAAACGAGGATCTATATCAACGGGTAAAGGCTTTTTATTTCGAGCCCAATTGTTCCCGACTGAACCTGTTTTTCTGGTCGGGTGGTCACGCACTAAAACCTTTTCTTTCACCTCCACATTAAAAGAACCGTCTGGACGGTCCCATTTTTCAGCGACTGGCCTTTCAACAACTTTGAGTCGTTCTTCCGGTCGGCCACTGTTTGGCTGACTTCCTTTTTTTGTTCCGGGGCTTGCCTGAGTTCGTTCCCCTGTTTGTCCATCATTGGCCGAACTTTTCCCTGTTTCCGAACTTGGTTGGATGTCAACCATTGCCGTTGTTACTTTCGGAAACGGTTGCTGGTCTACACCTAGAGTGATGTATTTGAGCCGACCTGTCTTGATGGCCTTTTGAATTTCCTTCCTGAAATGAGTACACTGACTTGTATTGTGTGTGAAAGAATTATGCCACTTGCAGTATGGTCTCCCTTTGATTTCTTCTTTAGTGGCCAGTTTTTGCCCCTTTGGAATACGGATCTGCCCATCAGTCAGTAAGATATCAAAGATTTCATCAGCTTTTGAACTATCAAACGTCGGTTGCTCCTTTCCTTCAGATCCTGGTACTGGCTTCAATTTGGGGCACACATAAGGTTTTCCAGAAAGGATTTCGGCTGCCATCTCTTCTGACTGATTAAAATCAAAGTCACATGTTTCTGTTCCCATACTCGCCATATGTTGGCCTCTATTACGCCTGTTATTCTGATCTTCCTCCCTGAACAAAGACTCTAAACGTCCAGCCTTAGATGCAAGACTTGCCAAATCCTCAACGTCCAGGGCAGTGAGTGCTCTTAAGCGAGTATGCATATTCCGGACCACTAAATTGGTCATCTCTTTCTCACTGATTACTGTAGGACATCGCCCCTTCATCAATCGCACCCTTTCTATAAACTGTGAAGCAGATTCTTCTGGATACTGTCTCAATTCTAGTAAATCAGTTAAAGAAACAACTGGTAAAGGATTGAAGAATCTAGCGTGAAATGCCATCTCCAGTCCTTCCCATGTCTGAATTTGTCCAGGAGGCAGACTTACAAACCACGAAAACGCCGTTCTAGTAAGAGATAAACCAAACAGCTGCAACTTATAAAAAGGGTTATTGCCAACTTCTCCTAATTGTGCTGTGAACCGACCAACATGTTCTATGGTGGAAGATCCGTCCTCCCCTGAGAATGCATGAAAATCGGGTGGTCGATAATTCCTTGGGAGGGGGTGTTCATTAATGATCCTTTCTGGGAAAGGTCTCTGATATGCAGGGCGATTAGTCATCTGAGGAGTTAGCCCGAACTGATCCCTTAATATATGTGCAATCTCATCAGGATCTACATGAAAGCGTTGCTGATCAGGAACATGGAAAGGATCCTGCACAGGAATATGGATAGGATCATGTATATATCCTCCAGGCCTGTCCTCCCTTGTATTGTTCGGCTGCGGACTGGAAACCCTTGGTCCCAGCGGAACAGTGTTGGGAAACGTGAGAGGAGATTTTCCCCTATCCGTTCGGTTGGGATTTGTGGCACTTGGAAACGTACTATCCACGAATGATGGCCCTGCGAAATTTGTCTGTAGTCTGGATGATGATATTCCTGGTGGAGTTTGAGTGGGTTGAAGACTAACCCTTGACAGTGCTTGATCCAACATGTTCTGTATGAGATTTTGTTGTTCACGCAACATGTTCGTTTGTTGCTCACGCAACATATTCTGCATAACCAAAGTATGCTGGTTGTTCATTTGTTGAACATAAGACCACCAATCAGTTGGTGGTTGTGGGTTTTCCCCGGCATTTGGCACAATAGGTGGTGGAACGGATTCTCCCGCCGGTGCCGAAGATGATTGCGGTTGTGAACCTGCCATATGGACCCTTCCGATGATTCGGCCGGATCTAAGACGTATGAAATTATCGCCGGAATTGAAATGAGCAATTGTGTCTTGCTCCCACTGTGGTCGCCAATTTGTTGATGTAATTTTTCAACAAAAATAAAGTAAAATTCAAAGATATAGAAAATATCCTTAAACTTGATTAATTAGTGCTTGAGATTAGGAATCTCTAAACACTGTATGGTACAGAAAATAAACTGGAAAATAAAAGACTGAAATTTAAAGTGGTGATCCCCAAATCTGACTTTGCTTTGTTGAAGTTGATTGAAGATACCTTGCCAAATGATGATCCAAAACCTTAAATATTCTCTAGGAAACTGTACTGAAAACCGTCGCCCGAACGGTTACAATGTCTCCTTCCCAACCGTCTTCCAACCCTTCTCCTGCTGACACGTGTCCTCAGCAGACCAAAATTATCCCTATATTTCACTCTTTGAGCCGACCACAGACCTTCCGCCCTTTTGGCCCGACTTCGTCCTTCGCCCGACCTGCTTCTTCGCCCGACCTTACTTGGGCCGACCTCCGCATCAGCCGCCCTCCGTCTTTGACCGAAGACCTCCGCGTCTGTCCGTACCTCTTCCTTGCCCGACCTTCCTCTTGACAAACTTCCGCGTCTGCCCGACTTCGCCTTCCATCCGATCTACGGTTTACCCAACTTGGGTACACCTTTTTCTTTTAGACTCCGCCCGACCTGAATACAGCCCGAACTGCTGATCACGGACAACCATCTCTTGGTAATACCTGAGTCTGGATTTGGATCAATTCTTGAGATCTTAACTTTCTTCCTTTTCCCGACCTGAAAGCCTCCCGACCTGCGGACTTCCCGTCCTGATGACTTTCCGTCTTGAGGACCTCCCGACCTAAAAACCTTCCGACCTGAGGTCTTTCCGTCATGGGGACTTTCCGTCTTGAGGGCCTTCCGACCTGAAGACCTTCCGCCCTTTAGTCTTTCCGTCCTGAGGACTTTCCGTCTTATATTTTTCCTTAGAAATAAACCTATTTTCCTTGATTTCCTCACGGTGTCCTTCAGCCAGTTCAATCAACTCTATTGCCAGGCCCATTCTTCTTTTTACCTTGGGCTTTTAACCTAATTCTAAATTTCGTACGTAACAATTATATATTATTTTGTCGTGAAAATTATATATATATATATCTTATAGTAGTATTATAGATATTTTATTATTTTGTTGTATACATTTTTTATCATATCATAATTTTTAAATAATTTTGAATAATATTTAAATACTTCTTTTTAGAAATATATATAATTTTTTAATTATTTTTTATATGATAACTAAAGAATATATTATTATTTGGAATGTATATACTGAAAGTACTCATTACAATTTTGATTTAATACTTTAATCATTTACTAATATATATATATATATTTTTTTAATATTTTGCAATATTTTTCAATTATTTTACATATTCGTTATTTTGTGTTACTTTTTCATTTCATGGTTTTGCTTTGTTATTTTAATTATCTACTGTTTTGATTTAATATTATGATTATCTATTGATATATTTACAGCTTTAAATATGTATCTTTTACTACATCCGTCCAGCCACAAAGTATATAGTAGCTTTTTGGTATTGATATTTAAATATTAATTATTATATGAAAACGTAATACAAATAAAGAGAAAATGATAAAAAATACATCTATTAGTCTTTTATAATACAAATACAATCATATTTTTGGAGTAAACTATACAAATATAATTTTTTTTTAATGTTAAATACAATTGCGCAAAAACATATGATTTAAAGGTAATATTATTTTTTATCCACATGCATTTTTAAAATTTTCAATTTTGAAGTTTTGATTTGTTATTTTAATTATCTACTAATAATTTCATAGTTTTGATTTAGTGATTTAATTATTTACTAATATTTTTTAGTTTGAAATCATTATTTTTATTATTTACTAATCTACTATTTGAAATTGAAGCAGATAATTATATATTTATGAATCTAGCAATTTTCGTTTCTTTGTGCAATATATTTAACTATGTCATTTATTTAGCAGATAATTCTTTAATTGGTTGTAGTTTGGCAATTTCACAGTTTTGATTTAGTATTTTGATTATTTAAAAATGATTTTATAGTTTTGTATTTGAAGTTTTAATTACTTACTAATAGTTCTACTGTTGACATTTTTATTATTTACTAATTTGTTATTTAAAATTGAAATAAATTATTTTTTACTAATTTGATAAATAAAATGAGCAACTTAGAATGTCTATTATACTCTCTATGTCTATATATAATAACTTGATATGACTTTTTGAATATATTTTGCAAATATCCAATCCGTTGTTTGTTCAACAAGTAATTTTTTATTTTGTTGTATTTTATAATATTGATTTGGTGCTTTAACTATCTACTAATAATTCAACCATTTTGATTTTGTTGTTTTGATTACTTACTAATACTATGGAAAAATTGCAAAAACTAACTCACATGTATACTTCATTATCACTTTTGTTGTTATGTATTTATCTCTTTTGTTGTTATGTATTTATCTCGCTGACAAAATATATCCTACATGTTTGCAAATGTCGTTATTTCTATCATTTAGTCGCGCGTGATCGTGCGTAGTGTGAATGTCACGCACGGGCAAAAGATATAAATAACGATTTTTGTAAACATATGAGATATAAATATAAGACAAAAGTGATAATAGAGTGTAAGTGTGAGATATCTTTTGCATTTCTTGTCATTTACTGTGCATGTAATTATTTGCTTTGCTATGTTTGTATTTTTTATAATTTTGATTTGATTTTTGATTATTTACTAATACTTTTATAGTTTTAAATCAATAGTTTTATTATTTACTTACCTATTATTTGAAATTAAAATAAATTGGTGTCTTCTTATATCATTTCAATAATTTATATTAGCCGTGCAATGCACGGGTGTCACCGCTAGTTTAATATATTTTGATAAAAAAAAATCCATATTTATTTATATTTATATTAAAATTATTTAGTTTTATATATCAATATTTATATCATTTAGTAAAAAATAAATTTTAGATAATAAAAAAATATAAAAACATAAAAAAAATAATTAATATAATATTAATACATATATATAAAAAAATGGAATTTCTTGGACATTAGATTTTTTGCATTTTTTTTAAATATTTATATTGGAGCCTTGCTGGAGGAGGGAGAGGCTATATCTGAGAGCAAATACAATAATCTCTCAACTAATGGCCTCTCAGTACCTATGGAGGCAATATTCGACTAAACACCAGGAAAAAACTATGCAATGATAAATCTTTCCAGGCAGAAAAAACGAGAGGGCTTGAAGATGGTTTCGTGAAGCAGAGGCGCATCGCAAGTCCATTCATCATCATCATTTTCTCTCTTCTCTTTTCTTTCTCCCTCTCGTTTTTCGCAAATACCTAATTCCCAAAAAACTCATAATTTTCAAATCGAATCAAAATCTCCAATCCAAGATCCAGAACTCTCAATGCCACCGACGATTCACCAACAGAGCAGAAATCCTTGGGTATCGACCAATTTCTCGACACTCAACAGGTGATTTCAAATTTATAATGGATTGTAGGGTTTGGAAATTCCTCGTTTCGATTGACTTAGGCTTTCTTCGAGTAAGAACCACTAATTATGTATATGTATGTTTGTATTGTACAATTGCTTGTAGAAGATTTGAATGAGAATGTCATTCATTGGTTGCTGTCGGATTTGCTTTTTGCTTGTTCATGAACATCACATTACAAGTTAATCATGTGTTTTTATATGATTTCAAGTTATTCTTGTAATTTTATATGATATTAACATATGCGTACACATGTTATATAGCTACAATTTTTGCTAAATTATTGTGCCCATGTAAAGCTAGAAACTATGATTCTTGAAATGATTCTTATGTTGTTTATCTATTTTTTATTCAACTGCTTTGTGTTAGAACCAACTATTGGGATAAAAAAAAACTATTGTTCTTGACTCTTGAATCTTCACATTTTATGCGAATTGTATAAATACTTATTTACTAATGTTGAGGTACTTTTTTTGACAAGATTCAATACTTTCTTCTATTGCATACAATTTGCTATTTGACTCTAAAACTTGTTTATTTGAATCTTTTTTTCTTTTAAAACTTGTTAGACTATAAGAAGGATCATGACTGATACAATGGATGGCGATCCAAAGGTTGAGGTACATGAGTTAGTCGATTTGTCCCAAGCTACCAACAGGCCACAAGCACAACCCCCAAATTCAACTACATGTACCCAAAATAGTCCGAACCTGGCTCCCCAAGGACAACTATTCCTGAATCCATCAAGTATGAATTTCAATCATCCTTTCTCACATATGAACTACTATCCACAATCAAATGAACCATTTTTTTTTATCCATATGTGTGGAATTTCTCATCACCTACACCACCATCTCGGTTTCCATATAATGAGACTCACTCCTCACAAACAAATCCTTCACCATTCCATACCAACCGTCCTACAATTCAAAATGAAGAACCTTCTCAGGGCAATCCAATTTCAAGGTGAACAGAGAGCAACCAACGTGCGAGTAAAAATTGGTCCACATAAGAGGATGTAGAGTTGGAAAAAAGCTTGGTGTAATGTGGGAACTGATTCGCGGGTTGGTGTCGGTCAAAAGAGACAAAGGTTGTGGGACCGAATATGTGAAAAGTTTATTATTCTCATGGAAGACAATCACGGGGTTACTAGAGCTGAAAATAAAAGAACCCCAGGTGGATGTGAGAACCGATGGTTAGAGATTCAGAAGAATTGCACTAAATGGTGTGGTGTAAGAGTTCTAGCAGAACCACAGTATCGTAGTGGCTGGAGTCCGGCGGATTTTGTAAGTCCATGATCTTTTCTATAATCAAAAGCATTACTTTATTTGACTTATATTTATTCATCTAGGTAACTAATCTATACCATGTCTTATGAACAATACTGCCATGAGACATTTCTGGAAAAACACAAAACCAAGTTCAAATATGAGTCATGCTGGCATATTTTGAAAGAGCAACCAAAATGGATGGAATTTTCAAGAGAAAAGAAAAAAAGAACAGATAATCGATCATGTAATATTGAAAAAGAGTTAGCTAGGGAAGCATCACCGCATACTAATGGAGAACCATTGTCACCAACAACCACTATTGATTCGACTATAGGGGCCTTCCAAATGGAAATAGATTCCAATGCGAAAGCGCCGTCTTTGTCCAAATTAGGTGGGTTTGCAGCAGTGAATTAAGAACGACCAATTAGGGTTAAAAAAGCTAAATCATATGGTAATTTGAAAACTCAGAAACAACGCCGGATAAAGAGGTATGAACAGTCGCAATCCTCGTTAGCACGGACTCTAACTATAGGATTAATGAACTTAGATTCAGTTAATCATGAGAGATGGACCTAACTAGAGGAACTGGATCTTTTGAGGGAGTCAAAACAAGATCAACGTTACGATCTCATTTCCACACGGCAAGCAAAAAGGTAATTTTTGTTATGTTACTGTTATGAATTAATGTTCATATATGTTTATATTTCTTTTTTTCACACATGGCTGAATTTTT